CACGCGGACGGCCTGAGTCCTCGGCACGGTGGACTGGCTCAGCAGCCGACCGATGACTCGCGGGAGGCCTTTCACTGCTGCGTTGGGCTTAACGGTTCACGCCCCCGCACTCGGTGATGCTCCAGTCGTACTTGCAAACCAGTGGCCGTTAGCCACTCCCTGGTAATGCTTTCTGCACAGCTCCCGCTGTCCCCCGCCCTTGGGCTTCCGGCAGCGGCCAGCTGACACCCTTGGCACGTGGGCTGCTGCTGGGGCCGTGGCCCACCTGCCCCTGCCTTGCGGGCTCGCCCGCCCTGTTTCACACCGTCGCAGCCGCCGCGCCTGGACGCGTGGGCCTGTGGCTTCTTGCAGAAAATCTCGGGTTCGTTCCCTCTGCCAGAAGCAACCACTGGCCGTTAGCCACCCCCTGGTAGCGCTCTCTGCCCAGTTCCCGCTGTCCCCCGTCTTTGGGGCACGGGCAGCGGCCAGCTGACAGCGCTGGCTCGTGGACTGCCGCTGGGGCCGTGGTCCACCTGTCCCCTTCGGCTTCCGGCCATATTGTAGTTGCTTTCACCGCCAACGGTGCGCTCTCCACCCCGCGCCCCGTGGAATCCACCGCGCTGGGACGGCCCACCCCCCGCGGCTGGGCAACCTCCTTCTTGGCCCCCCCCCGCCCCGGCGGCTGCGCGGCTCGACGACCCCGTCCGCCCCGCCCCTCCGCCTCCTACTCCAGCGGCTCCTCCCCCGGGGCACTTGGGGCTCTTGTGTGCACGTGGCTCAGCCTGTGCGCCCTCGGCTGTCGGCCGAACGCGTTGATCGATTCCATGGTCCCTGACGGCTACGCCCACGGCGCCTCTCGCTACCTCGACCCGGCTTTGATGTGTGGGCCTTGTTGTTTCAGCAGACCTCAGCCGCCGGTTCCAGTTCGAGGGTGCGCGTGGCCTCCTGGCCCGGTGGTGCGGGAGATTTCGGTGTCGAGTACTTCCACCGTGTTCCTGACCACTTTCCCGTCCTTGGGTAACTTCGCGGACGGACTCCTCAGGATCAGCGCTTCCTTTGGGGGACCGAGTGCGCGACTCTGGTGGCGCCACTCAATGCTCCAGTTCGGGCCGTTCGGCACGCTTTGCAGTCGTCGCAGACACTGGCTTGCCGCTTCCCTGGCCTCACCCTGATATGCACCCCGCGCCATTTTGGCCGCGCCCCAACCCTGGTTGGCCAATTTGCGCCCTGCCTTTGCTCAGCCCCTGGCAGCCGCAGCTTGCACCCCCGCCCACCGGTCCCGCCCGCCAATGTGACGCCTGAGGCCCCGCCGCTTTAGGTGATTCGTCTTTGCGCGGCCCGCTCTGACTCGATTCGCCGTGTGCGCTTTCGCGCGCGGCTGCCGACAAAAAAGCGTATCCCAACCAGCCCATCCAAAAACAATGCCCAGGGGTGTTGAGGTGATCTGGAAGTGGGGGAGCACGCAGACGAACAAAGGGCGGGGGAAGCCGTCAGAGGTGGGAAGGAGGAGGAGGAGGAGGAGGAGGAGGAGGAGGAGGAGGAGGAAAGGAGGAGGAGGAAACGGAAAACTGGGCGAACATACGAGCCTTCTCGGATGTCATTTGGAAGTTTGTTGTTCGATGCTTCTTGGAACATCCGGGGGGGCATGTTGGGTACTTCGGGGATCCTCTTGACTATTGATACCACTGCTAGGACTTGTTTGATGGTTCTTACGACCGCTTCTACTTAACGAGGAGGGGCAGTAACCGAGGAGGGGGTCGGAAGTGAAACATGTATTGACCCGGGAGAGGTTCAGGTTTTTTTTGTTATCGCACGCGCGGCCCAGAGATTTTTGAAGTGGTCCAGGGCAAGCAGCACGGCATGAGGAATTCGTCTTCCCTCCCTTGTCTCTCTGTCTAGCAGCACGCCAAGGGGGGGATCAACCTTCCCTCCCATGCCTCCGTCGCTTTTTTTCTCTCTCTCTCTCTCTCTCTTTCTGTCTCTCTCTCTCCCTTTGTTGTTTCTCTCTCTCTCTCTCTCTTTCCTTCGCTCTCTCTCTCTCTCTGTCTTTCTGGGCCCTAATACATGTAGGCTATAGATATCTCTCTGGCCCCCTCTCTGTCTCTCTCTCTCTCTCTCTTTCTCTCTCTCTCTCTCTCTTTTTTTGTCTCTCTCTCTCTCTCTCTCTATCTATACATATATATATATTGTGTTTTGTGTCTCTCTCTCTCTCTTTTTTCTCTCTCTCTCTCTCTCTCTCTTTCTCTAATTCGATGTCTTTCTCGTTGCGCAGAAACGTATGTATATGTGTGTGTGTGTGTGCATCCTCCCTTCCCCATCGTCGTGTGTGCGTTGGTGGGGGGTGTCGCTCTCTCTCTCTCTCTCTCGCTCTCTCTCTCTCTCTCTCTCTCGCTCTCCCTCTCTCTCTCTCCTCTCTCTCTCTCTCTCCTCTCTCTATATTTCTCTCCTTCTCTCCTTACACTTCTATATTCATATCCCTACTTCTCTCTGTTTCTTTTTACTCGGTGTCGTTCGTTTGAGAGTTCTCTCTCTCTCTCTCTCTCCCTCTCTTATCTGTGCTTCTCTCTCTCTTTCTCCCTCTCTGCCCGTTTGTCTCTCTCTCTCTCTCTCTCTTTCTCTTCTATATATGTATATGTACACATGCGCCTGCCTTTCTACCTTTATCTCTCTCTCTCTCTCTCTGTGTCTCTCTTCTCGCCTCCCCTCCCCTCTCTCTGTGCCTCTCTTTTTTTTTTTTCTCTCTCTCTCTCTCTCTTTGTCTTTCTCTCTTTCTGTTCCCCCCCCCCATATGCGCGCTGCCGCAGATGGGTCCAGCTCAGGTCCAAGGAGCAGGCCGCCGCTGCTGTCTGCTCCGATCTGCCCCGTGCGGGGGAGAGCTTCAATGTGCAGCCGAGGGGCTCAGCGCCGCGAGCTGGATCGGAGAGGCGTTGCTTTCCCAGAGGTCCAGCGGTGTGTGTTCGCGATCCCAGCGTGCTTCTCGGGGGTGGACAGGGAACCCCAACAGTGACGCGTCGATGTGTGAATCGTCCGTTTTTTCGGTTCTCGAGAGGGCGCCGTGGCCGCCATGTTCCAGGCTTGGCGCCCGCCAGGTTGGGGCCTCGGGCCGTTGTCACTGAGCCACGTTTTACCAAAGGGGGGGTCTGCCCATCCCCGAGTGTCCCAGATGTCGGCCAGTTGTCGGGCCCCGGGGCCATTGACAAAAAGGCCCAGGTCGAGAAGTAACCCCCAGGGGAGGGGGCCGCGCATGGAAAACCACATCCTCCGATGTCGAGGTTTCTTTCTACTCCAGATTTCGTGATAAAAGGGAGGGGGTCTGGACCCTCCAAGGCAAGCCATTTCAGACCCCCCCCGTGGGAGAACCCTCCAAAACATCGTCCCCAGACCCCCCAGGCCCTCCAAGATAGCCTGGAAGAGACCCCCCCCGAAATGAGACCCCCCTCTGGAGTACACATTGTGGAGAGCTGTGCCCTGGAAGGCACTGCGCACCCTGGATCGTCAGTCAACCTCAGTGTTGGGTTACTGTGTCACCTGACTTGGCATGACCTGCTCTGCGGGGGAGCTCGGCGATCTCAGTTCTACCTGCGGCGCAGTCCGCCGATGGCAGCGCAGCTGCTGCGACCTGCTGATCTGGTGAGCCACAGCATCAATGTGCCTTCGGTGCGCAGACTACTCCAGAGGGCTTCTGCCTCATCTCCCTGGAAAGCTTCAAGGGAGGAAAAACCACCCGGACCCGATAATTGGAGTTTACCAGACGGCCCTGGGCGTTGACTAAACAGCCCTGCGCTCTTCGATTCCTTCTGTGGGCGCCTTTACCAAAGGACTTCGCGTGTCGGGGTGGCTCTTATGGCGGTGGAGGTTTTGACCTCCGTGGGAAGCTGGCACGTCGATCACCTCAGGCAGACAGGCTGTCTTCGGAAGACTGGCTGCCCTGCAGGAGCCGGGACCTGCGGCGGCGTCGCTCAGGTTCCCCGGGAGGCCCCCAAGAGGCCCGCAGTGGCCCGCAGGTTTCCAGAGCGTTCGGGCCCCCAGAGGCCGAAAACGGCACAACAAAACCGACGCTCCGATTTTTTTGGGAGCGTCGGGCCTCCTCTCGACCTCCTGGGTTTCCCCCTCCTCCTCCTCCTCCTCGTGCTCGTTCTCGAACTCGACCTTCTCTGCCTCCTCCTCCTCCTCCTCCTCCTCCTCCTCGACATCCTCCTCCTTCTCTTCCTCCTCCTTCCCCAGACGTTTCTGGCTGGTGAGTTTGGTTCCTTGGCCGCGGGAAATGAAATCCCGGTCGGCCCCTCGCAGGGATACAATGACTGCCTCAATGTGGTCACAATGTTCGCCCTCCCGCATTCTGTGCAGACCTCTTACACGAGGCCATACGCAGGCATGTTCCTGAAGATGCGCCGCTCTTTGCATCCGCCGTTCGTAAGGTCAAGGCGCATCTCATCGACAGGCCAGATGTGATTGGCGTTCAACGCTTTTTTTTTAACAAGGCAACGACCCAGCAGATGCAGCTGCCGAGCAGGGGACTGCCGCTCGCCCTCGTCATTCAGAGGCTGTTCCAAAGCAAGCTGACCACGCTGTTGAACTCTCTAGGTTGGTTTGTAAGTTGGCATATATCCTTATGCCGCCCAGGCCCAGGCTAGATCTGTCTGGCATTTCTGTTGCTGCTGAGTCCTTGGTGGAGCAGGACTCTCGCTCGTTGCCTCACCATTGGGCCTGGCTCGGGAATTTCTGGAGGTGCCAAGCCTGCCTTCGCCTCAAGACACAGGTAGACAGGCCACCCAACAGAGGCTGTTCAGGCAAGCTGCCAGATGTTGCCACCTCTCTACCCGAGAGAGGCCATCGGGGTGCTGCCCTCGCCTGCTGTAGTACCACCATGCTCTATCTTTGTGCGAAATGGTTTGGGTCTTATACCGGTGGTCAGTTCAAGAAGCTGCAGAAGCAACGCTCCCCGTGGGACCCCCGCAGGCTCGCCAGGTAAGCAGCTGCAGTGGTCAGGTCCCTGAAAAGGAGCCTCCGCCCCAAAGACGGCTCCGTGACCTGTGAGCGTTCCGATGCGTCTGCCGGAGCTGTACGCGGCGATGCCCGCCAGGAGGCTCGCGGGGGAGGACTTGTCCTTCCCTGCTGCCGCGGGCAGTGCCGTCGCTGCCGCGGCCGGGCCCCCGTCTCGAGGGCGAGGCCCTGGCCCCCCGCGTCGGACTCCGCCTTCGGAGGCGAAGAGGCCGACGGGGAAGCTGCTCGTGTTCTGTGTTCCGTGCCTGGCGCGCCTCCTGCATAGAGCTTTGGTGGATGAGCCTGTTCTCCACCACCACCACCACCACAAGTTGGAGGGGGAAAGGAGGAGGACGAGGAGGAGGGCGAGGAGGAGGAGGAGGAGGAGGAGGAGAGGGAGGACCCCCCCCCGCAACTCATGGTGGTGGTGGTGGTGGAAAACACGTCCAACACTGGTGGGATGCAGGGGCGCGCATCCTCGTCGGCCTCCGTCCAAGGCAGTACTTGGATCTCGAGTCGATTGGTTGGTGACGGCGCAGATCCGGGATCGGCGGATTGACGCTGGAGACAGGCAGCTACACACGGGGCATCCGCCTGCCGCCACACCGTGGCAGTCGGCAGTGTAGACGGCATTCTGACATCGGATCAGTCCGTCATGCTGCCCGCCGATCCGCCTTCGAGCGCGCCGCGCCCCCCCTCGTCGAGGGTCAGGACAATCCGCAGGGCTCCTCGCAGCTCGCAGGGGCCAGCCGCGGCCCGCGCCTCGGCCAGCGCACCTGCGGAACCGGCGGGCAGTGCCGCCGCGGATGCGCCGCGCCCGCTGAGCTGCCCCCCTGGGCCAGCCACCCTCAGTTCGCCGCCCGTCGCGCGGCGGGCGCGTGCGCCCTGGGCCGGGCGAAGCGAACTATGCACATGCACCGATCCTGGCAAGGCCCATCCTTGACCCAGGATCGGTGCATATGCCTTCCCGGCCAAGGCAGGAGGGCGTATGCACCGATCCTGGGCTCAGGATGGGCCTGGCCAGAATCGGTGTATGTGCATAGTTCTTTCTCCTCTACTGGGCGAGGTCCACGTCGCGGGCGGCGCGGTGGGCCGACGAGCCGCGTGCCGCCGCGGGAAGGTGCCTCGCGCCGCGGCCTCCCGGGATTCTGCGGCCGCGCACGGCGCGCGGCGGGCGCTGGCTCATGGGGCATCGCTAGGGAAAGAACACATTATGGGAAACCAACATAAAAAAGGAACAACCACACACTGTGGGAAAAAAAAACATACAGGGACAAAACACACACACACACACACACACAGGGGAAAAACACAAAAACACACACAGGGAGGAGGAGGAGGGGGGGGGAGGGCGAGGGGGAGAGGTGGGCGATCGGGGGATGCACGACCGAAGCGGCAGGAGTAGTAAGAGTAGGGGGAAGGGAAGGATGTGGCTTGCACGCGCTACTATCTTCGGTCGATCGATGCTTTGCGCGGGAGAGCACTAGTCACATTCGCGTGCGATGCGGTTCAAGTTCAGAGCGGTCATAGGGCATTTCTCGATTCCCGACGCCCGATTTCAAGGGCCATCAGAACCCATCAACGATTTTCCGTCGCGTGGCGGCGGGAAAAACAGCCCATCAAGGAATCTTCGTTTTTTTGGGGCGCGAAATTCAAGGCATCAAAAACCCATGGCAATTTTCCCATCATAACCTCATCAACCCCAGACCCCCTCAGTAGGCCCGGATGGAACATCCAAGCAGAGGCAGCGGCAGAGGCAAGGGCAGGAGGAGGGGGAAGGCAGCCAAGGGGAAACACCAAGCACCGCCCCACTTTCATCGCGCCACTTCTTTTCCCACGCTTGGACTACAACGTTTTCTGTTCGAATTCGACCCCCCCAGTCGGCGTTCACTAAACCGCCGTGGACGTCACGAAACAGTCCTGTCCGGTTCGATTTCTCCCTTGGGTGCGTGAATGCAACGCTTCTGCTCGTCGGGATGTGTTTTTTGAGGTTGTTTTTTTTCCTCTGCCCTCTACTTGCCGACCGAGGCAGAGGCAGAGGCACAGGGGGAGATGTCAGGGCCCCCAGTTCGCCCCCCCGCCGCCCCCCCCCCGCCCTCAGGATGCGGCGGCTACGGCCCGGGCGGAGGCCTTCCCCGCGCGCCCCGCTGCGTCAACCGGCAGGTAATGTTCAATCGGGCCTGTACAGGGGGAAGATTCACAAATAGTCAAAAAAACTGCAGGGGACGTTGTTTCAGTATATTTGTTTGCTATTGGGGGGGATTTCTAGGGTATGTTTAAATTTTCGCCCAAAACCTCCCTGTAGGGGGACAGGCCAGAACTAAAGGTAATGGGTTTCAGTGCAGAAGGAGGCCAGACCGCTGGAACATGCAGGATCCTGCAGTGCCAGGTTTGGTTTGTGCTTCGGAGGAGGAAGAAGTATCAAAACCGCTACCCTTGGGTTGCTTTCCTTTTTGGGGCGCCTTTTGCGAGGCCCTTGTCGCCACCGCTGGATTCGCTTCGATATTCTGGTCAGAACGCTCCCCAGGAGAGGTCCGAGGAGTAGCGGTATCGGTACGTTTTGGTTTCCCAATGGTGTGGTTTGGGAGACGCTCGCGGCCCTGGAGTTTGCCGTACCTCCTGGCTGAGCTGAGTGTAACCTGGGGAAGCACTCGGAAAATGTCAGCGCAGTGTTTTACCAGATGGGTTGAGCTGTCTGCGCTGGGGCTCGGTTGGTCCACGCCAAACAATCGTCGCCGTCTCGGCAACAGCGCCGACGGGGGGGGTCGCCCGCATCGACCAAACGCAGACATGATCAGGGCGCGTGGAATTAGCCCCGCCCCCCGTCAGCCACGCGCAGAGGGGGTCAGAGGGTTGGGAAAGGCGCCGGCCTTACCTGTAGATGTAGGGCTGGGCCGTTTGAGAAGCAGGTCCCCTCAAAGAAGCCTTCCCCCTCCCCCCTCAGTGGGGGCCACGCCAACAAAAAACACCCTGCTCGCCTCCAGTGTGCCCCGGGTCTCTTGGGTTTCGATGGTTTTGCGATGGAAAGCGTGACGTTCCCACCCCAAACATACATGGACGTCCTGGGGTCTCAGGGTTGGGTTTGTTGTGGAAGGTTTCCTGTGGTCGAGCCCCTACTGTGCCCCATGTTCTGCCCGCCACCGCACGAACTTGGCGCCCGCCGCCGCCTAGTCAGGCGGCATCGGCTGCATGTCACGGGGAGTAACTCTGTCCCAGATCCGTGGACTTCGACGCGCCAGATCCGCGGATCCCTGATCCGTGTGAGCCTGTGCTCGACAGCAGGGGGGGGGGCCTGCCACCTCCTCCTGGAGACCCAGGATCGGGAAAGAGGGAGGAGCGCGAATCGAGGAGGAGGCGGAGGCGAGAGCAGAAGAGGCGGAGGAGGAGGAGGCGGCGAGCGTAGAAGAGGAGGAGGCGGGGGAGGACGAAGGGGAGGAGGCAGGGAGGAGCGAGGAGGTTTTTGGGGACGTTCTGTGGCGCCTTCGGGCGTCCGGGAGGGGCGCCCGGGGATCGCGGCGGGCCCGGCTCCTGCCAAGGGGGTCGCGACCCCCCCGCTGGGCGTGGTGGCCCCTCGTGGCGCTGCCCTGCCCGCCCTCGTCGCGCTCGTCCCCTCGAAGGCGGCAGGCTCGCCGCGGCCTCGGCGGCACGGCGCGCCGGCTCGGCAGCGAGCCTGCCCCTGTGCGCGGGCGACGCGGGGGGGAAGTCGCGGCACCGTGTGCCACATCGTGCTTTCCCCCTCTTCCGCGCGGTGGTTGTTTTTGTTTCGCTGTTGTGTCGATCGGCGCGGGCCCTCGACCCCCCACCCCCTCGCCCTCCCCCCCCCCTCTTCCTCTGTTCCTCCTCCTCCTCCCCCCCCTCCCCCCTCGCCCTCCCCCCCCCCTTCCTGTGGAGTGGCTCTCGGCTGCTCTCCTCGGCGCCTGCTTTTCGAGCACGCGGGGCCAGTCCCCCCACAGAGGACGCACGCTCTTGCAGGCAGGCGCACGAAGCAGAGGTCGGGAGCCAGAGCCCCCCCTCCCTCCTCCCCCCTGTCCGCCCGATGGCGAGACGCCGAATAATGAACAAAACGCTCGCGTGCTGCTGCGTAGATTGCGCATGCCGCCATCTGAAAACGGGTCCTTCGAACGTGTTCCCCGACGCAGTGTAGCCACGATTCGGGGAACATGCCATGGTGGAAGGGGGCAGGGCTCGAGAACAGGGCAGGAGTTGGAATGAACCGCCGGGGTGGCGAAGACGGCAACCACGAGCAGCATGCCAAAGACAACAAGAAGGCCGCGCTGCAGACGTTCTGGAAGCCCTTCAAAAAGCGTGTGGACGAGGATGTGGAGAGGAGATCGGGAGGTCGGGCAAGGAAGGGACGGCCGAGCTAGAAGCCCCTTGGCGGCCTCGTGGGGCCCGCTTGTGGAGCCTCCTGGAGGCTTCATGGACTTCGCGAGGGCTTTTTTGGGGACCATGTTGAGGCCTGCGGTGGTCCATCCTTGGTCCCTCCTTGGCCGCTTTCGTGGGCCGCGCCCCGCTCGAGCAGCCTCAGCGTGGCCTTCCAAGGCCCCTGCATCCTCGTCGCGCATCTTTGCTATACTGGTTGACTGCAGTGGGAGCCTCTTGGGCGATCTTGCGGTCCTCCTGGGCCGACTTGCTGTCTTAGACGCCTCTTAGGCCGTTTTGGTGAATCGGAGGCCCGAACACACGATGCACGATGTTAACATCATCCCACGACCAGTGGGGAATCAGTGATTAGTACGTTGGGGGTCCCTCTTGGAAGGCAGATATCGGGTTTAGCTTGGGACGTTTTGGCGGCCTCTTGGGCAATATTTGAGCCATGGTTTACATTGAGCTCGCTTCTGGCGCCGTGTTGGTGGCATCTTGGAGGCCATCCTGAGCTGGCCTGGCCGCCCGGGAAGCGCCGTGGAGGCACGACCGTGTGGCCAAGCGTTGGGCCGAAGTGTGGCCAGACCACTGGGGGGAACACTGGGGAGAGTACACCTTAGGCGATGCCTAAGAAAACTTGAGTTTTCGGACAGAGTCTCGATTAGTCTTAACGTTTCAACGTAAAGCCGAAGATTTGAATAGAAATGTTGGGTTTTTATTCAAGTTCTGCGACTATGAATTTCTTAACCCATGATTTCTTAAGCATTTCGCAGGGTGTATCAGAAATGAGGAGGAGAGGGTGGACAAAAAAAGAGAAGGAGAGGAGGCCTCTCGAGGCCAGCTTGGGATCTCCTGCGGGCTTCTGTGAGCCTTTTGGGGGTGGGGCCTCTCGTGTTTCTCCCGGGGCCTGTTGGGGACCTTAGTAGCCTCACGGGGCCACTTTGGGACCTCTTGGCCTTCGGAGGCCGTCTTGGGGTCCGCTTTGGGGCCGTCTTGGAAGTCTCCGAGCCGTTTTGGTAGGGGGAACTTTTGGGATATCTTAGGGCCATCTTGAGCCGCATTGCGGGCCTCTTTGGCGGATTTCGGCTCGTGCTTCCCCTCATGGGCCCTTCTTGGGTTGTCGTTGGTCCGTCTTGGGCGCCTCTGCGGCTTGGGGCCCTCTTGGGCCGTCTTGGGGCGGTCTTGAGGGCCCCTTTGGCCGTCTTGGAGCGTCGGAGGCTCGAATAGTCGAGGACCCACAAAACAGTTCGAAAAGCATGAGGCCAGTTGATGACTTGGGCCTCTCTTGACCCTCTTGCGAACTCTCTTGGGGCGCCTCGAGGGTTACTTGGGCCGCCTTGGGACCATCTTGCGCGTCTTGGACCGATCGTGTGGCGATTCGGGGCTCTCTTGGACCGTCTGGGCGGCCTCTTGGTGCACTCTTGGCCCGTCTTGGGGCCCTCTTCGGCCCCAAAAGTTCAGGCGACTAAACGTGACGCGCCCCCCCCTGGAGCCATGCGAGCAGCCCCAGGAGATTTAAGAATGTGGAGTCCGGGCCCCTAGAAGACTCTTCAGAATTGCATACTGATGCTCACGGGATTTAGCCAAGGACCTGAGAACACCTCAACTCGTGCCTCAAGGGCACGGTGGCGGACCTCGGTGAAACGAGAACAGCCAAGTCCAGGACCCCCCTTTCTCCAGGACCCGTTCCCTTCATGCGACCTCTTCCTCCTCAGACGGCGGCGGGGCTTTTCGGAGGCCGTCGCGGTTCCTGAGAAGCTGTCTGGGTCGTCGGGGAGGGCCCAGAACACTTGCCGGAAGGACCGGAGGAGGCGGACGGAGGAGGAGGAGGAGGAGGAGGAGGAGGAGGAGAGTCGCCACGTCCTCTCGAATTAGGAAGATCTGGGCGACCACGGCGGCCCCCAACGGGCCTTGGATTTCGTCGGGGTCGTGAGGCGCCTGCCGCCGCGGGATGGGAGGCGCTGACCCTGCGCTGGCCCTCTGAGGCCTCCGCGCCACCCCGCGCCATGGCCCTCGCGAGGCTCGTGGTGGCGTGCGTGGCTGCCGCTGTCTGGATGCTCACGCTGGGCCTCTACAACCCGCAGAGCTTGCCTGCCTGGCGGGAGGAGCTCGTGAGCGAGGCGCTGCAGAATTTCGACGTGGTGGTGCTGCCTGGCACGCAGCAGCGCCAGAGGGATGACGCGATCCCCGTCACGGCCATTCGCACGATGAGGCACGTGGCCTTCGGCTGGGGCTGGCGCCGCGGACGGTTCACCAACAAGAGTTGCGGCATCACGATCATGATTGGCAGGCGTGTCCGACGCAACCATGTTCGCCAGGTACTCAGCCCGCCGCCGAAGCTTGGCATCACTGGACGGGCGGGTGGTCTCAAGCTGGCGACGGCGCGGACTCCGATGCTAGTCTTCGGGGTGTACCTCACGCCTTCTGGGACCCAGGAGGAGCGCACGGGGGCCATGCAGCGCATCCTAGGTTGGATCACTGACGAGGTGGCGAAGGCGGGCAACAGGTACCTGGTGGTGATCGCTGGGGATTTTAACGAGCAGCTGGGCTTCAATGACATAGACGAGGTGGCTGGACGGCATGGACGGCACCGGCGATCACGACAAGTTGAACAATTGCGATGGTGGGCGGCTACAAATTACCTCACCGCTGCCAACACGCACTTCCGCCTGCCCGCCAGCTACTACGGGTCGGAGACGACCAGCTGGATCGATCATGTTTTTGTCCCGTCCACGGCTATGGGGTTCGTGCCAATGATCAGGA